GGGTCTCCTGGGCTGGGCCGGGGGGCTCCAAGGCAGGGTGGATGGTCCGGTGGCTCTGGCAACCCCCCAAGCAGCAGCCTGAACACAAAGTCCGCTTCTTACCATGTGCCAGCTTCGTCCTTCCCCCGTCCACCTGAGTTTCTAGAACTGCCCACAGTATATTTTGTGCCAGCTCAGAGTCAGGCCTTTCTCTTTAAAGCAGGTCTCCTGGGCTGGGCCGGGGGGCTCCAAGGCAGGGTGGATGGTCCGGTGGCTCTGGCAACCCCCCAAGCAGCAGCCTGAACACAAAGTCCGCTTCTTACCATGTGCCAGCTTCGTCCTTCCCCCGTCCACCTGAGTTTCTAGAACTGCCCACAGTATATTTTGTGCCAGCTCAGAGTCAGGCCTTTCTCTTTAAAGCACAGTCACATGCCAGAGCTCTGCTGGTCCCCACCTGCATTCCTTATTTCAATTTTTTCCCAGCTGGAACAGCCACCCACATCCTCTGCAGCAAACACTCTCTTCTCTTCAGAGCCCACTTCTGCCAGGACTCATCAGCTGCCTGCACCTCCACATTTCCTCCAGTTCTGGGAGCTGATTTTCAGAGGAGCAGCCACCGGCAGCTTTCCTTGACTTCCGTGGTATTTTGGGGTGCTCTTCAGGTGTGAAAATTAGACCCTTAGTTATGTAAGTACTTTGGTGGTTGCTCTCCGTAAAGCACTGCATCCATTTATAGTGTATACATGTTTACTCAGTCATGCCAGTGATCTGAAGACAAAAGGTTTCTCATGGGCCATGCAGGATAGTTTGATTTTGCACAGATAAAAACAGAGGCATTGTCTGCGTGGGAGGGTTAACTTAAATTTGGTTGTATACTTTAGTTAAACCAAGGCATCCCCATTACAATACTCTTATTTCAGTTTAAGGAGGCTTTTTGTGGTTTAGCTTAAACCTGTATGTAACTGATTTCAGATAACCCAAAAGAGCAGAAAAGAGCATCCACACAGGACTTTGCACCATTTAACTAAACTAGTTTAAATTCATACTTTAGGCCTAACTGTAAAGTGAGAGAGGGAGCCAGTGTTGAATACCCAAGTCAACCTGTAATGCCTAGGCATAATGGCCCTTGCCCTGACTAGAGCTCCTAGATCAGGTTTTCTTAAACTGTGTTCTGTGGCACACACCTGTGTGCTGAGAGAGAGGCAGAGGTGCACAGTGGAGAATAAGTTCAAAATGGCCACCCTTAAAGGGACAGCAACCCCTCCTCCCCCATGACCCTCCCAAAAAAAGGTAGAGGGGGGAAGTTAACTTTCCCTCTGCCCCCCCTTTTTTGGCTCAACAAAAAAAAAATCCTTGGTGTTCATTTAAAAAAAATATTTTTTGGTGTTCCTTGGTCTTAAAAAGTTTAAGAAACAGTGTCCTACATGTTACAATAATGCAGGTGGTAACTCATTAGATGGATGATCACATGCTGTTAGTTTTTCCAGTAATGATAGTACATTAAACTGAGCTATGAGTGGGTTTGGCTGCCTTCTGGCATGTATGCCTCATCACTGCCCCTCTGGGGGAGACCGTAGTTGACCAACCTGAAAGATTCTTCTTGTGAGAAACTTAAAATCACCCTCCTTCCCTCGAAAAGAAGAGTCACTCCCCTTTATAAAATTTATATCAAGCTTATTTTAAGTTGCAAAGACAATACCATAAAGTTACCCGGAATAACAGTCTTTCCCTTTTTAAACTAAGCACAGTGTTCAGTCTTCTCTGTCTGGGTTTGGTGCAGATTATGCAGCATTCTTGGGCTGCTTGATAAATGTGCCATTATGCAAAAAGTACATTTCTTTGTAAACTTCTGTCTTATATACATCTAGGCTGTCTCTAGACTGGTCAGTTTTTCTGGAAAATCAGCCGCTTTTCTGGAAAAATTTGCCAGCTGTCTATACTGGCCGCTTGAATTTCTGCAAAAGCACTGACTTCCTACTGTAAGAAATCAGTGCTTCTTGTGGAAATACTATTCTGCTCCCATTCAGGCAAAAGTCCCTTTTGCGCAAAAGGGCCAGTGTAGACAGCTCAGATTTGTTTTCCGCAAAAAAGCCCCGATCGCGAAAATGGCGATCGGGGCTTTTTTGCGGAACAGAGCGTCTAGATTGGCAC